GAATTTTTTTTTCAAAGTTCCGGACGTTTTTTGCATATTGCCTCTCGCAAATGATGCATAACTTCAAGGTAATCATCCTTATTCACCGTACGACCTTGTGGTAAGAATTTACGATGAATTACGTCACGGTAATCAAAGAAGACAGTGAGCAAAACCTTTACATTTGGTCGAACTTGGCGTGCTTTTTTGGGTATTGGCTCTTCTGGAGTCTTCCATTTGGACGATTGGACTTTAGTTTCAATATCATAACCATATACCCACGATTCATCACCAGTTATAATCCTTTTGAGAAAATCAGGATCTTCATTGACTTCATTCAACATCTCTTGAGCGATGGTCATGCGACGGTTCTTTTGCTTAAAATTAAGCAATTTTGGAACGACTTTCTGTGATACGCGTCTCATGCCTAAAACATCCGAAAGAATATCATAGCATGAACCAACTGATATGTTTACATCTTCTGCAAATTCTCTGATGGTGATTCGACGATTTTTAACACAATTTCTTCCACTGCTTTAACGTTTTCATTTGTTGTTGATGCGCTGGGACGTCCAAGGCGAGGTTCGTCTTCGATATTTTCTCGGTTTTCTTGAAACAGCTTATACCACTTTTACACATTTTTTTTACTCAGAGTAGACTCACCGTATGCAATTGTCAACATTTCAAGAGCTTTAGAGCACTGAATTCCATTTTTCACAGAAAATTTAATACAAACTCTTTGCTCCATTCTTTTCGATAAAAGAAAATCGCCGAACATACGAAACACTTCTAACCTCTAACGCCTCTGCCTGAAAAACAACATGTGCTATATAATCAAAACTATGAATATATGATTATGGTAAGTGTACCAACACAAAGACAACAAAAGTTTAAAACTTGAATGTACCCCGCGAAAATTGAAGAGTTACCTTACTTTTTGAACACTCCTCGTATATAATATATGTATCGGATATTCTTAAAAATATCACTAGAACTGTGTGCATCTCACAATTCGCTGATGAAATTGCGCTCTATTCTAAAAACAAAAACTCCTTACATAAAATAATCAAAACTCTTGACAATGAATTAACGGCATTAGGTCTGAAACTTGCTCCACAAAAACAGTTTATGTCAACTTCAATAATCAAAATATTGCTCCCGGAGATATAGAAATTCAAATTAATAATACATGTAAAATAAAATCCTCAGAAACTGTCCGATTCTTAAGCATAAGATTTAATAATAAACTAACATTTAAACACCAAGGCAATAAAGTCATAAGTAAATGCAACATATAAGATTTGAAGCTTAATAAAAAAATTCTAAATACAAAAGTTAAGAAAATTTCTTAATCAGTTGTTTATTCTGTTTCAGATTCCAAGAAGAAATAAATGAGAAACGAGACGACGAGCTGATATGAAATGACGAGTACGTATATGTGATGAGAAATAGACATGAAGGAGACGAGTTTTTATTTATACAACTAAATCAATTGTATATATCGGAACGCATATCAAAGTATCATCAACATATCTATAGTAGAAAACCGGATTTATTTGATATTTATTCCATAACACATTCAGGCAGTGTTTCTCTAAGTCTTCCATTACAATATCAGCTAATAAAAGATAGAAAGGAGAGCCCATCGGGCTTCCAAATATTTGTTTATAATAAATTTTGTTAAACACAAAATATGTGTTATTAAATAAAAATTTTATACCTATCCAAAGCTCTTCCATTGTAATTTCACAATTTTTAATTTGTTCATAACGTTTGTCCAATCCCTCCAAGACTAAATCACAAGATATGCTTGTGAATAAGGAACTTACATTTAATGATATTAAAACGTGATCGTTTGGAATATAAATATCTTTTAATTTCTGTTTTAACTGTCCGTTGCTTAAAATGTAAGAGTTAGATTTATTTATAACTGCTTTAAGAGCATTATATAAGAATCTTGCTAATTTATGAGTAGGGCTATTAATTGATGAAATTATTGATCGTAGCGGTACATTTTCTTTATGTATTTTTGGTAATCCATAGCGTTTTGCTATAGATGTGTCGGTTTGAGTCAAATCATTATTATGCCAATATTTATTCAGAAAACCATTATCATTCCAATCTTTTAAAATTATTTTTACGTCTCCTTGTAATTTTTTCAGAGAAACGTTGCTGACTATAATTAAAATCAAATGAGTTTCCATCTCTCACTATTTCCCTTCTTTCCATTATTACAAAATTTATCATTGAAAAAGACAGTTATACATTTAAAGTACTATACATTGCAATGGTAGTCGATTTGATTAATCGATCCGTTCGCGATTCGGTACACTCGCGATGCTAGAGCGAACGACTAAGAGAGAGAGAGATTAGATTAGATTAAACCATTTTTTATTTAGCCATGAGGTATAACCCCGTAGGCTTCAAGAAAAATAAAGTACTATTACAGTAATAAAACAATAAAACAATAAAATAACAATAATAATAACCAATAATAAACATTAATAAACCAATAATAAACAATAATTGTTGGATGTGGGATTTGAGCCAATAACTTTACACAGTGAAGTTTTATTGAAATATAACAAAAGTTTAATATTTGTTGCTTAAGCCAACTTAACGCAAGAACAAGATGTTCGAAGATATGATGAGCTTTACGAACTTTGCTTGTTTGCCGGCTGAACGATGAGTGCCAAAACTGACTAGTGTTTTCTTCGCGTGGGGCTCGCTCGCCCCCTTTTCCGAACGTCCGCTACAGTTTTCGACAGCTCTAGCCCTCTCTTTAGGCCCCGCTGCCGCGCGCATCCCTTCGCTCCGCCTACGCTGATATAGTCTTGTTCGCTGTCTCTCTTTTAATTGCCTCAAAGGGCTACTTCTACTTTCTCTCTCTCTCTCTCGCTCGCTTTTCCGTTCGCTTGCCTGATGGACCCACGGTCGGCCTGACAGCCTTCCGTGCCGTATGTTTGGGTGACCTTCAATACCCGGGAACAATGTTCCCTCGCGAGGTCTGACAACACTCGGGAAGCTCCTATGCTCGCCGATGCAGATAAAATTGGGCTTCAAGGCGCTCGTGCACATTCATGTCGCGCAACGTTAACGCGCGAGAGAGATCGAAGCTTTGTTATGTGACGTATAAAACAAGAGGAAAATATGCAAATTTGAATCGAAAGACAGCCAACGACGAAGTAGTCGCAAACAAGCAAGTTGATTATTCTTTTCACCCCTTTGACTATCTTATATCTAGATTACATATTATCTATGCACGCATTTCATTCTTATTACCACATGGACATTTCATATACAGTATAACATGAATACAAATTTGTTCTATTACAACTCACACCTATTCCAGAAACAAACATACGCACACGATGATCATAAATCCCGCTGTTACAATGGTCTTAAAAACTATTGAAAAGAAGACGTTCGAGAACAGCTCCGCATTTACGATATTGACGCTTTTTGCTTTTACGCGTATTCCGTCGCAGGCTTCGGATTAAAAAAAAAAAAATGAGGTGTATGCAGCGCATCTGCTAACCACGTGTTCCCTGCCGCACGATTTGCCGGGCAAAGGGCCCTAAACCCTTTTTTTTTTGAACTACCGGTCAGTATTGCTGCTGTCGTGCCATTTGCTGGTTTTTTTTTTTTTGGGTTTTCCCCAACGGCTTTATTGCCCGCGCGGGCCTCAAATTCTTTTTCAAAACTACGGCGACTCGAAATTTTGCTGCGTAATTTATGATGGGATATTTAGAGCTTGGAGCGCAAGCTGGTAGAAATATTGCGTTTTCAACATCCTCCCCCCAGTCTAGGAATTCATTTTAATTTCTAGACTTCTCCGATGGGCTGAATATTTTTACCAGTTTGTTCGCCGATCTTATTAATTCCTTTTTTCCGGCGCGGACTTTAACCACTCGTATCACGTCATTAGACTGGTTCGGATAGACTTCAATGACTCGACCTTGTAACCACGAGTTTCGAGGTACTTGGTAATCGACAATGAGCACGATATCACCGACTTTCAATGGTTCGACGGGGGTGCGCCATTTGGTTCGCGGGAGCAGAGACTGCAAATATTCGCGTAGCCACCTTGTCCAAAAACGATTTGCTAAGTTTTGCGCTGTTTCAAAGGCTTTACGGGGACTGTCTATTTCATTTTCGAATTTCTCTAAACGCAAGTGTCCGGATGAACTTCCTATCAAAAAATGATTAGGTGTAAGTGCTTCCTCGTCCCGCGGGTCGATTGATACGTGTGTAAGCGGTCGCGAGTTTACCTGATGCTCGATCTCTACTAACAGGGTTTGCAAGACTTCTTCTGAGGGAGTTTGTCCGTCGAGCGTATGTTCTAATGCGGTTTTCACGGAGCGTATTAACCGCTCCCATGCTCCCCCCATGTGAGGAGCATTAGGAGGGTTAAAATGCCACTCGAACTCATGCTTTTTCGCGTAACGTCGCTGCTTTGTTTTTTCCTCATTCATCGCTGCGTACGCGGCTTTAAACTCCTTGTTTGCCCGAACGAAGTTGGTACCGTTATCGCTGTACAGATGTCTCGGAAAGCCTCGCCTATGAGCAAATCGATCGACGGCCATCATACACGAGCTTGCGTCTAGCTTGTTGGCTAATTCTAAGTGTACCGCTCGCGTAGTTAAGCATGTGAAAAGAACACCCAATCGCTTTTCGTGACGACGCCCGATTTTTACCGTAATTGGGCCGAAGTAGTCAATACCGCAGTGTGTGAAGGGTCGTTGTTTATAGGCTCTGCGAGCTTTCGGCAACGCGGCCATCGGTGGATTTGTTGGTTGCGCGCGGCGCTTGCGACAGACAAAACAACGTTTGGCTAGCCATCTTAGCCTGCTTCGAAGTCCGATAATATAAAATCTTTGGCGCAATTCGTTAATGACCGTTTGATTATTAGCGTGGTAATATCGTTCATGGTAGTTTTTAATGATTAATCGCGTTGCGAAATGACTGGCGTCTAAAATAATCGGATTCATTTCGATATTGACGTCCTCGCCGTTATCGTTCTATACTTGTACTACGCGTCCGCGAGCACGCAGTAATCCTTTTTCGTCAACAATTGGATCTAAACTAATTAATTTGCTCCCTCGTGGGAGCTCTTTCCCTTTTTCCAATAAGGCCATTTCATGCGAGAAGAGTGAGGCTTGGATAACTCGAAACCAAACATTTTCAGACTCACGCAGACGATCTTCCTCGGACTCGATTCTTCGGTGCGCCGGCGGACCTATCGGCCTTTTCAACTTTGATTTCTCTCGATGTCGACGTCTATATCGCGTTGCGCGATCTGTTGTATTTTCGCCCTGTCGCTTCCGTACATTGTCGAGCCAAATATAAAAATATTTTCGCACGACCGTTGCTACCTCTCTAATTCTATCCCACCCGAGCACTCTATATCTAACATCTAACGTATTCCAATTGTCTGGCATATCGATTTGAAACGTTCCGATAAATTCCTTACGCGCTTCTAACTCGTTGATCTTCCGTTTCTCCGACTCGTTTAGCGATTTGGGACGAGGCCAGGACTCAGGCTTCTCGAGAAGGAACATTGGGCCTACTAACCACCGATCGTCCGAATGCATCGGTACTTCCGAGGGTCGCGTCGTGTCATCAGCTGGGTTCAGACTAGTAGGGACCCAGCGCCATTCGGCAACTTTCGTCGCTTCGCCAATCTCGCCCAATCTATTAGCAACGAACATTTGTTTTCGGGAAGGGTCCGCGCGAATCCAATGGAGAACTGTCGTGGAGTCGGTCCAAAACACGCGTTCATGAATAGTGATTTCGATCTCTTTCTCGATCATTGCGGCTAATCTCGTTTCAAGCACGGCTGCCTGTAACTCTAACCTGGGCACTGACATCGGTTTAACTGGGGCGACGCGTGATTTTGACATAATTAGCGCGGTACGAACTCGGCCATCGCGCGTCTCCATTCTTAGATAGGCTACGGTAGCGTAAGCTTTTAAACTCGCGTCACAAAAAATATGCAGCTGCACTTTTACGTTATCAAAGTCAGAGAAAAGAAAGCAACGCGGTATTTTAACATTTTTCATTTCCGCTAAATTTTTTAACCACACGAGCCAAATTTTAAATTCTTTTTCGCGGATCGGCCCGTCCCATTTTATGCCACTACGCCAAATATCCTGCATAATAAGTTTCGATTGGAGGGTGAAAGGGGCAAGTATACCAAGTGGGTCGTAAACCGACATCGCGACGCTAAAAAATTCGCGCTTCGTCGGCGGCTTAGTTCCATTCGCTAAATCCGCTCGAATTTTGTTGAGACCGACGTTGAAGCTTAAGGTATCTTCATTCCTATCCCAGTATAGGCCTAAGACTCGCTCGTTTGTATCGCAAAGGCTCGCCGGATCATTCTTACTTAATTTCTGCTCGTCTCGCACGTCCTGCACTACTTGCGGTTCGTTTGACGCCCACCCATGCATTTTAAAATTTGCTTCGCTATTAATATGTATGACGTTTCGCACGCGAGTTTTCATTTCCTCTATTGACTTTTCTGACGCTAGATAGTCATCCATATAACTATTTTTGACGATACTTCGCACGGCCTAAGGCAGCGTCTCGGCAAATCTCTCCGCATTTTTATTTTTAATATAAATAGCGCTGCATGGTGAGGAGGTCGCACCAAAAACTAAACTCGTGTTTTCGTACACTTCCGGCTCGCGTTCGCGATCAGCACCTCGCCAGAGAAATCGTTGCGCGCCACGATCCCGCTCCAACATTTTGATACGCAGGTACATATCCTTGATGTCGGCTACAACGGCAACTTCGAACTGTCTAAAGCGTAAGAGAACTCCAGGAAGTGATTCTAAATAATCGGGTCCTGTTTCAAGCAGATCGTTTAATGAGACTCCCCCCGTTTTAGCAGCCGCGTCAAAAACTAATCTAACCTTATCGGGTTTATTCACATTTTCTACGCCGAAGTGAGGTATATACCAGACTCGCGGCCTCCGCGCCTCGTTTTCCAGTTTCACGGCATATCCGTTTTCGATTAAACGCCCCATTTCTTTGTAATAACGTGCTGCGAAATCCGGATTCCTATCTAATTTCTTTTCTAATGACCGAAGACGTTTCATGGCAGTGACTCTGCTGTCGATGTTCGGCATCAAACCCGGCTTCCACAACAGGCCCGTCTCCCATTCTGCGCCTATCTTCCGCGATGTTGATTCTAAAATTGCTAATGCTCTATCGTGGGTGCTGCTTTTATTTGCAGTCACTCTCACCCCGAGACTCTCAATATCGTAATACTCTTGTACCCGTTTATCTAACCTTTCAAGAATTTGCAGTTCGGAATCGCTTTGCTGTTTACCGCTGCAGCAGACTGTGTGAGCGTTTATCGTGTTTTTCGATTCGCGATCTGACTTCATGTACCCGTGGATTGTCCAACCTAAAGCTGTGCGCGAGACTACAATGCTGCTTTTGCCTAGTGCTCGGGCTTCTTTAGGATGTAATAGAGCCCAATTGTCTGTCCGATGAGAATTTGAGGTTTCGCGTTCAAGTAAGGCACGACTTCCACGTTTGCGTGTTCTTTTACGCGCTGCACAATGTCTCGCGATAGTGATTGGTGCGGTAAATCTAATCGGGGTACTGCTAATGTGTGTTCGATTTCTTGCTCTCCGAAGGCACCCCGCGCTGTGAAATTTAGTCGCTCGCACTCTGCATTCACAGCTCCACTCCACAATCCTCGGATACACATATTTAATTTTTCCCCGGACAAGCCTAACCTTTTCGCTAAACTTTTGTCGATTACACTAACCGTGGAGCCTCCGTCGAGTAGAGCATACGTGCTCGTTTCGCCCTTAGGTCCAGTTACGCGGAGAGGCACGATTTTTAGCAGTCCCTTTCTCGACACTAGTCATTTCCTTGCGCTTTCTCCGCGCGCGCTCGTAGAACAGCTGCGATGCGAGCCCGAATCCTTTCTGTTCTCCCTATCATTGCTCCTTGATCGACGCCGCTTACTCGTATGGTGATCTCGCTCCTCGCTGCGCCTCGAATCATCGCGTTTCGAATAATTTTCTCGATCGTTACGGTAGAAATGCAGCAGTGAGTGATGATTTTTGCGACACTCATCACACCCTGACCTTTCGCATTAGTACCTGGCGTGTTTGTCCTCGAGGCAGTTGAAGCAGAGACCAAGCTTTTTCGCGAGAAACCACCGCCGTTTCGTGCTTTGTCGTTTGAAGTCGCGACAGTCGGTTATTCCGTGTTTTTCTCTACTACAATGCCCACACTGCCTTTTTTTACTGTCACGCTTGTCGTCGCCCGCGTCTTTAGCGTCCGTCGCACACACTACAGCTGTTCTCGATGATTTTCCCAGTTGCTTAGATCTATCCGAATGACGTTCGCCTAAGAGAAATGTAGCTTCTTCTAGATTCAGCATTTCCGCACGCAAATTTGAAGCGGCTCTTCTGTTCAAGAAATTCGCTAATCTCTCGAGAGTGGAAAGCGTCGTATCAGGCGCGAGCTGATCCGAGTATTCAGCGAATTTATCTCTTAAATCGTGCGGAATTTTTCTACTCACACTCGAAGTCAACTCGTAGCTCACAAGGTACTCGGTCAATCCAAGCGATTTCAACGCAGCCACGCAGTTAGACACGCTAGTTGCGAATGAGACTAAATCGCATTTCCCTGACTTGAAGCACGGTATTCCCTTGAGCTGCTTTACCACGCGATAAGCTACTAGGTGCCGATTGCCATAGTGTCGATCTAATGTTTCAACCGCGAGATCGGGATCGCCAGGGGAAAATAATAACGTACTAACGAGGTCCAAAGCTTTTCCTTTCAAAGCTCTTTTTAATCGGATGATGTTATACGCGTCGTCAAAGAATCTACATGTACTTTCGTAGAACCGTTTGAAATGCGCCCATTCAACTACATCCCCGCTGAATTCGGGTAGCTTTCTTAAATGATCGGTTGACGTGGACGAACGCGAATTACCGATCGAATTTTCGGTTATGCTTTGACGCAACACACGCACGGTTTCGATAAAGTTATTCGTAATCGCCAAAAGCGCATTCTCTGTAGCACTCGCACTAGCCATCACTGGCTCGCTCGCTACAGTACCTCGCAGTTCGTTGACGTTGCTCCTGTTGTCGTTGATTAGCTGAGCGCGTCGCTGCGGCGGTGCTTCCGGAGACGGTGATCGTGATGAGGCCGCCATGATGACGTTGACATCCATAGGATACACAGGCGTCGGCCGGCAGACCTCGGGTAAAGGTAACTCTTCCCGGGGCTGCACTGGCGGCGGCCGTTGTTGACGAGAAAACCTCGGTGCTCGTCGGTTGAGTTGATCAGCCCCTGCCACTGCTGCCGTTGCCGCTCGAGTAGTTCGGCGAGCGGTAGTTCCTACCGGTGCTACTTCAGCGACAACCTCTTCGATGACTTCGTCGACATGGTCGTTGAGTCGACGCCTTCGCTTGACGTTGGTTGCTGCAGCAGCTGCAGGCATTGCAGTTGAAGCTTGACGTTTTCTCGGTGCCATTGAAGAGATAAATACGTAATTAATTGATGTTACAATTTGCGAGTACACGTTCGACTGAAGTTATTAACTGCTCAAATTTTCGCGATGTCCCACCAGGGGTACTACTTTGTTGGATGTGGGATTTGAGCCAATAACTTTACACAGTGAAGTTTTATTGAAATATAACAAAAGTTTAATATTTTTTGCTTAAGCCAACTCAACGCAAGAACAAGATGTTCGAAGATATGATGAACTTTACGAACAAGGACAACTTGCTTGTTTGCCGGCTGAACGATGAGTGCCAAAACTGACTAGTGTTTTCTTCGCGTGGGGCCCGCTCGCCCCCTTTTCCGAACGTCCGCTACAGTTTTCGACAGCTCTAGCCCTCTCTTTAGGCCCCGCTGCCGCGCGCATCCCTTCGCTCCGCCTACGCTGATATAGTCTTGTTCGCTGTCTCTCTTTTAATTGCCTCAAAGGGCTACTTCTACTCTCTCTCTCTCTCGCTCGCTTTTCCGTTCGCTTGCCTGATGGACCCACGGTCGGCCTGACAGCCTTCCGTGCCGTATGTTTGGGTGACCTTCAATACCCGGGAACAATGTTCCCTCGCGAGGTCTGACAACACTCGGGGAGCTCCTATGCTCGCCGATGCTGATAAAATTGGGCTTCAAGGCCACGCTACGCCGCATTCAAGGCGCTCGTGCACATTCATGTCACGCAACGTTAACGCGCGAGAGAGATCGAAGCTTTGTTATGTGACGTATAAAACAAGAGGAAAATATACAAATTTGAATCGAAAGACAGCCAACGACGAAGTAGTCGCAAACAAGCAAGTTGATTATTCTTTTCACCCCTTTGACTATCTTATATCTAGATTACATATTATCTATGCACGCATTTCATTCTTATTACCACATGGACATTTCATATACAGTATAACATGAATACAAATTTGTTCTATTACAACTCACACCTATTCCAGAAACAGACATACGCACACGATGATCATAAATCCCGCTGTTACAATGGTCTTAAAAACTATTGAAAAGAAGACGTTCGAGAACAGCTCCGCATTTACGATATTGACGCTTTTTGCTTTTACGCGTATTCCGTCGCAGGCTTCGGATTAAAAAAAAAAAATGAGGTGTATGCAGCGCATCTGCTGACCACGTGTTCCCTGCCGCACTATTTGCCGGGCAAAGGGCCCTAAACCCTTTTTTTTTGAACTACCGGTCAGTATTGCTGCTGTCGTGCCATTTGCTGGTTTTTTTTTGGGGGTTTTCCCCAACGGCTTTATTGCCCGCGCGGGCCTCAAATTCTTTTTCAAAACTACGGTGACTCGAAATTTTGCTGCGTAATTTATGATGGAATATTTAGAGTTTGGAGCGCAAGCTGGTAGAAATAGTGCGTTTTCAACAATAATAATAAAACAATAAAACACACTAGATAACATACGCTATACATTGGCATTATAACAAGAAACATAACAGGATAAAACGCAATAAGAAAGGCAATAAGAAATGACGGAGTGTGAGACAATAATATCACACTGAAAAATAATATAAATAACAATACAAAACTGGAGATACGCAGGTCGCAGAGTACAGGAGAAAATAAGTCGCATAAAAGAAAGAGGGAAGAGAATCGTGTGAGCAAAAAGGATAGGTGGGCCTCAATAAATGACCTCAAAGAGGCAGATAAATCTAGTTGATAACGACAATTAATGCGAGTCATGTGACAACTACGTTGGAAGGATAGAAGGAGGAGAAGAGGGAGAAGAAGAAATAGGATCTAAACAGAAGACGGAGGAAGATTCAATATTCCAGGTTTTATGAGTTGAAGGGAGGGAAATTATAGGAGAGGTAGGAACCAGGTGTTTGCAGGTAATTTGGACTGTCAGTGAAGGCTGAGACGTTGAAAGGAAGGGATACTCTGGGTAATTTTCGAAGGGATGAGAGATTTGTTAAG